ACCTGAGGAAATAAGTAAACATTATGCATGATACCACATTATACTAACTTGTAATGTGAGGTGTGCTTTGATTTTGAATCAGTTTCATTAGTAACTGCTGTTCCCTCATAGTTAGCTTGAAAAGCACTAGTGATACTTTTCTTAAAGTTGATCACCCATTCTTCCTCTCCTTTACCATAAAACACACCCAATACTTTACCACTTGATGTACTTTGAGCAAAGCAGAACCATCTATCCAAGTTTTCCACTGGAACTGGATCACTACAGTATGCAATAAAAAAATTGCATTAGTCTGTGTCTACATTCAGTGACACAAATAAAAAATTTGAAATAGCAACAGACTACACTTGATGAATTTTCCTTGACTCCCTGTCTTACTTGTTGCTATCTTCACTGGTTTTTGTGATGACACTGTCTCTGACTTGCATGCAAGAACGAATTGATAGTTCATTGTTAAATGTACCAACTACAAGAAATAAATGGATCATGTACTAAATATAAATTTAAATTCTTAATGAATGAAAGTGAAAAATACCTGCATGCTACAGTGCTAACATGGCTGACCTGATTCACAAGAGATATCCACTTTTGCAGATATGGAGATTTGTTCTCCTTTGCCTAACTCCATTTGAGCATGATATTGATACAAGCAACTCTCAGAAACATTCTGTGCAACAGAGAAAAAAATATAAAACAATGCATCCAGTATTTACTTTGCAAATAGACACTTTCACATATTTTCCATAGGTAACTCCACAGGATAGGAAGAATGAGAGAGCAAGAGCTAGTAACACAAAGTCTTTCATGCTAAAGCTTGCAAGATTCTGTGACAAAACTATACACTAGCTGCCTTATATTTATATTAATCTGCATGTTGCCCCATGCCTGCATCTTGTTATGCATGACTGATTTCCTAAAAAAAGATCGCGCCAAATTTTAGTTTTAGTGTGCATGTATCTTGACACTTGCATGTAAACACCACACACCATCAAGTACCTATATAACGGTTTGCAATAAAAACATGAATGTTGTCTTACAAAAAAAATAACTTGATAAACATGTATTAAAATACCATTAAGGTTTAGTTTCAACAAAACAAATCCAATAACACAACTTTAATAAACAATTTGGGATAAGATATGTTTTGTAAATTGTCACTTAAAGGCTAAATAAACTTATGGCCAAACTAACATGTCAAGCAGGACAAAAATGCTGTCCCACATCCATATAACTGATGTTTTGCTAAAATAGGCATTAGAAATCAAGTTGCTAATGTACATGCGCTATGTACAAGTACAGTAGGGTAGCATTATCCTTTTATATACTTCACGTATGTACATGCACTGACACTCTCTCATTATCTTACTATTATTAATAATTCATTTTTTATCAAACTGTAAAGGAGATGATGCTATTTCCCAAGGAGAGCTTTGTTGTAACTTGAAATAACTTCAAAAAATGTAGTAAAAATACATGTGTGTACTGTATAGACACAACATCGACTATTAAATTCCTTTGGAAAATTCTTTTTTAGCCATTTTTTATGTATGCAGGGTTTTTGGCCCAGGTCTTTGTGCAGTGATGTGAGTGTATCATTGCTGGGGATTTAATTGGATATCTTTTTGATCCATTATTTTAAAAAATGAAAACGCTTATATGCTACACTAATAAAAAGCTTAAGCTCAACTACAAAAAAGTGGAGTCCATTAAAAATGATCACATCAGCTTTTAATGATGATTAAAGAATAACAAGAACATAAAAAATTAAAAAAAAACAAGATTGAGTAGGATTCTAAAGCAAGTTATATTGATTTATTATTTGTTAATTTATTATTAGCTTTTGCTATGATCGTTAAAAAAAAAAAAAAAAAAAAAAAAAAAAAAAGTTCATAAAAAAGTAATAGAAACAAGGGCAAGTAGGATTTGAGACTACCAACGAAAATCCAAAACGAAAATCCTACTTTCGTGACGCAAATTCTACTCTACATTGTATTTTTAATGCTATTATTTAAGTAACTACGGATCACCTTGCAATGAAGAGTAGAATTTGCGTCACGAGAGTAGGAT